CACAGGCAGCAGCCATGTTTTAAGGAAGGAGTTAACAGCAGGGCATTTTCTATCTGAAACTGAGGGCCAAAGCAAGATGAAGGGAAAAAATCTGGAACTCGGAAGATGTTATTACTGTTATGGTTAAACTTCTTTCACCCAAGGACTTAAGATTATTGGCAAATTACTTTCATAATTATCAAAATCTGTGCTCCTAGGATGAAAGGAGATTCAGTGTATTGTTCGAAATCAGACATGAGATCCTTACATAAAACCGTAGACTGGCTTATTCTGAAAACAGAATTTTCTGACTTGATATGCAAATTTCAGAGCAGAAAATAAAGAAGCAATCTATAGAAATCTAGTAATATAAAATATATTAGTATAGTAATAGTCCTTCATAACCATACCCATAAACAGAGAAGTTTGCCTTATACTAACATGAGGAGTTACTTTCAAAACAGAGCATTCTTATGAAAGGCGTTTCTGGTTTCTTTCCAGCTTAATAAAATATGAATTTTAATTTTTATTTTGCCTTTATTTGAGGCTTCCTGCTTTACATCTGCTTGAGCCCTGTATTAAAACCTTCTATTAGAGTTGATCAAATTTATGAAATGGATTTCCGGGCTATGTTAAATCCAGAGATTTTTCTAATGCATTGGTTCCAGAAATTTAGGAGGTACTGGTAACTGGACACTAATATGAAACCCATTAGCGACAACTATGTAAAATCATCTTATACTTCATACACAATATGGGTGTCCACGTGGTAAGTTACTAGGTCTGGCAGGAGGATGTCTGATTGCTGTGCCAAGACTTACACCTATGCATTTAAAAGGGATCGATGAAATTAATGCATTTGCATTAATGCAAATAATGCTTATGAAACCAACCACTCTACCCGGCCTTGCGTTATATTGACATATTAACGTAACAGATACAGAGAAAATAACTGAAGGCAGTCTTTCCCTTTGACTCATCTCTTGCACTTGCGCCCCACGTAGTCTGAGATGCTTATTCTAGTAGTTTCTTATTAAATATAAATGATTTATCTTTTATAATAATGAATTGTTAAGTGGAACCAAGTAAATTGTTTGTTGTCATTTTTTAAAAATGTTTTCCCCGAGTGCTTTATAAAGAAACATTATTTAAAAAACAGTTCTGGCTCAGTGTCAGTAGTTGAGGTGATGTTACTGTACCGTGTGTAGTACCTGCCGGGAGTTCCTAAGTCCCTTCTGCTCTTGTACATCTTTCTGGTTGGAATGCCCTTTCTTGTTCTTTGTCTGGGCAACTGCTACTCATGTCAAGACCTATTGTGGTATTGTGGAAAAAGCAGGGGCTTTGAGCTCAAACACAACCCCAATTCCATTGTTTTATTAGTTACAGCCCCTCCTTTGTCCATAATAGCAGATGACCTTGGGAAAGTTGCTTAACTCAGGTCTTCAGTGTTCACATCTGTAAAGCTAAAACCGTAAGTACCCATCTTATGTGGGTTTTTTGAGCATTAAATGAAATAGAAAGCGCCAAGTACGTACCTGATGCAGAGGAGGCGTTGAATTACTTTCATTTTGATTCATTCAGCCAACACTTGTACTATTTATACTCACAGCTTGTTATCAAGTGGCAGAGCTAGACAGAGATTGGTTCCCACTAGATCCAGTGGCGCCCCCATTTTGTCCCTGCTATATCCTCAGTGCCGTGTTCTCTCCGTTCAATCATGGTGTCAGCTGAATGAATGAAAGCAAGACATCAGCCAGCTGGGTAGGCAGATGGAACGCGCATTGCCTGGCCCTGCGTCTCAGGTTGCTGGGCCCCTAACCTAGTGCTCTCCTGGGAGCTTCCTTAATAACCCCGGGAGGGGCTCTTCTCTCACTCAGGGAGGATTTAGGTAATTACTGCAAGAGTTGAGGATTAATGAACTCATGCTATGGACAAGAACTATAAACTGTTTACCATACATTAATTTAATTATAAATACATACCCAAACTATAAATATATACCCTAAAACTATAAAAAGATATGAACTATAAACTGGCAGGTCCTCCCAAAGGAGGTGGTGAACACATTTAGTAACAGGTGTGGTGAAGTGAATCCTCTCTACTCAGGTCTAGATGTGTTTTTTTCCTGCCTTGTCTCTGTTCTGCTGGTTGTTTACTGTGTGCCTACCTTCTCCTAGGCTGGTGCCCTCCGAACTCCCCTCTGCTACAGTCTGCAAATACCTGCTGCTGTGTACCTCCACACCTGCTGGGAATGGCTGTCACTCTGTTTGTGTTCTCCACCCTGGTGTATTAGCCACCTTCATATTTTATCCACTGCTCATAAGCGAGGGGGTGTGTATTCACTCCCATTGTTGGGAGAAGAACTTTCATATCAAAGCCCAAGCCACAAATGGAGCATCGACGTGGATGCCGTGACACCACCAGTACCCCACCATTAAATATCCCACCAACCTGCCATGGCTTAGGAGTATTTAACTTGGTCACACCTGATAGCATGTGGGCTATAATGGCAAAGCCATGTTTTATTGTGATTATTGTTTACTCATGGTCCTGGGTCAGCAACTGTTCTTTATTCCCTCTCAGCACTTAGCTCAGGGTCCCACAATTAGGGGGTTCTCAGTAGATGATTGTCCCAAGAACACAGGGTTGATCCTCCCAGGATTACAGAGCACAGGAGGCAGGGGAGTGTCCCTCTCCAGACCCTGGGGGTGGATATGCATTTCTTAAGCCTTGCATGTATTTTACAGCTGGAAGGTGCATAACTAACCTTTGTTGACACTTTTAAGCTGGAAGATGCTTCTAAGAATAGCAATGCATTTTGTTGTTTCTCTGATCTTCATCACACCAGGCTTTCCAAGTAAGACTAAAATTAGTACTGGGTGTTTGAAACATTGCCAGTGAACATATGAAAGGAAACCATACTCATTCAGCTTATTTTGGGCTACCAGAAAATGCTCTGCCAGGCCCCCTGAATAAATGGGGAGTGAGCTGTGACACCGTCCATTTGCAAGTGTTTTCATTGTGACAGTCACAAGTATCCTTTCATTTAATCTGCACAACATTACGAGGGTACTGTCTTTTATTAAACTCATTGTACAGGTAGGAAGTTATGACTCCATGACATTTAATATCTTGTCCTAGATGAGAAAGCTAATGAACAGCAGAGCCAGGATTTGAACCCATGGAAATCTGTGCTTTTTCTCCCCCACACCACCCCTAGTGTGAATCTGTTTGACCGCCTTTCCTCTCCCCTGCTGGTTGTCTATGTGTGTGAGCTTGTGCTCAATGCCACTGTTTTGTTCTCCTACATGCCTTCTGGTATTGCCCCTGTCCTGCCCATTTGCTTCGTGACCAGGTTCATTTCATTGCCTGTGTGGTTTTTTTTTTCCTTTTTGCTGTTTGAATGATGGAGGCACTGTTGGCCAATTCTTTGATACTGAGCTGTGACAACCACCATCCTTGCTTGAATAAGTCCTTGCTTCATATCTCTCATTTGGCTTGACATCAAAACTGAAAAAGGTTACTGATGACGCTATGAACCTTTTTAGTATGCAAATTATGTAATGGTACAAATGACTTTATATCAGTATAATCGAGTTCTTAACGATTCATTTTTATCACTGCCTGTTCAATATGTCAAGCTGTAAAATAGAGTATTTTAATCTACAGGAATGACTCAGATCTTGAAGAATGAATGTGCAAATACTGAATTTCGTTGTGCAAGCTCTGCCGCTAGGCTATGGACTTCTTGAAGAGAAGGGCTGTATTCTGTAGGTCACTGTGTCCCCAGTTCCTCCTCAGGGTCTGCCTATGGTAGACCTGCCATGAATCATGAATGAAGACTTCAGTGAACACCTGCTTTGGCCTTCAAACCTCTCGGTGTTTACTATACTCTTCTGAGAACAGTGGAAGGTGATAAATGCTGTGAGACTCACTTTAAGACTGGTGCACTTCTTAAGAGGCATGTTGATTAGGCTTTAGTTAATATAACTGATCAAAATATGGTGTTCTTTGAGTTATATAAAAAAATTCAACCTACGTATATTTAGTTTTTATAAAATAATTACCATGACAGTTAGTGATAAATGCTGTAAAGAAAAACAAAGCGGAATTTAAAGGAATGGAGAATGATAGATTGGTGTTATTTAAAATAGAAGGGTCATGTAAAATAGATGAGTAATATCATAATGCAAAATATTTGGATGTTTAAATACAGAAAGTTAGAATCTACATTTAGGACAAGCATCATAATGTACCATATGAGTCATGAGAGCTGAATCTGGTTATCCCATTTTCATAGTGATTTTAGAGCCAAAAATATTACTTCAGATAGATCTTTTCCTGACATTTTGGTGAGTAAAATAATTGATCAGCTGTGCCCTGATCCTTTTTCTTGTTCAAGCTTGGCTCTTAAAACAAGCACGTGCAATTTAGAACAAGAACTCAAAATAGAATGTTTTAAAATCCTTGATAGGAACATTAAAAATGCTAGTTTGAGTGTTATCCTTAGTGATGTATCAAATAAATGCTGTTTTTTAATCCTCATTGTAAGTTTTAAACCAATTTTCACATGAAGGCATTTCGGCTGAAATGGTAAGGTGTGTAGATGTTGGAGCTTTCTATCAGAGGAAGAAGTTCAAGATTTTGTTAAAATGAATGACCGAAATGTCATAATGTGTTTATGATTTAAAACACAGACCAGATGTGTACACATATTTATTTGAAGGTTTTCACACTGAAACGAACTCAGTTCGGTGCTGGTTCAAGGTTCAAATTCAGTGTTGTACAAGCCTGACTCCACTGGAAACAGCATACTCACAGCCTTGTGTAAACCATTACAGGGAGATGCATGATTTTATCATTTTTCACATATACTTTTGAACTTAAGTAGTGGAAAGTCAGATAAAAGAGCGTTTTGCCTCATCACCTCAGCCTGTTTTTAGGGGAAGAGCCCGGTGCACGTGTGTAGGCTGGTGTCCAGTTGTCAGGTGTCATCTCGTGTCTGGATGTTCCCTTTGCAGATGATCCAGTCCCTCAAGGCGTTGATTGAAAATGCAGATGCTGTGTACGAAAAGATTGTACATTGTCAGAAGGCAGGTAAGTGCGAGCTTGTTTCTTTTCTTTAAAATTAGTAGCATCATATATTTTGCCTCTAAATATTTCATCTTTTTGATACTATATCAAGAAAATCAGATATAAAAATTATTTTTCCATGGCTAAAGAAAATGCCAGTTCACTGGTTCTCAAGCCTGAATAACAAACTCAGCTCGGGGGAGCATTTAAAATATATTGACATCGGTCTGGGGTGTGGCCTAAGAATTGATGTCCCAGGTGTTTCTGATGGGCAGCAAGACTGAGAACCTCTGCACCCATCTCTTTCCTCGGTGTTTCCTGTGCCGCCAAACTCCCCTCGTCGCCCGTGACTCTCAGCTCATGGTAGGAAAAGGGAGGCTTGAGCCGAGAATGAATGAGTTCTTAGAAAGGAAAATGGGCATCAGTTACAACCTCTTGACACTTCAAAATGCACTGGCATTTTCAAATGCTGATGAATTCATTAATTGAACATCCAATTGTTATACTAGATTATAAAATTCTGCTTACATACACAACCATCTAACTAACGTTAGCAGTGATAAAACCACAAAATCACGTGTTCTGCATTGTAATTAGAATAGATGAAATGGAGTTCTTTCAATTTTTAAACTTCGTTTGTGTCAATTTGGAAGATTCTAATATGGAGAATATTTGTAATTCATAAATAAGAGTACCTGTCCTTCATTTCTAAGTCTTAGGTTTCTGTTCTTTAAAATCAAGAGACTAATAACTATTACCTAGCCTGAAAAAACAATCATCTCTTATCTCAGAAATGAACTTGTTTAAAATAGATTAAAGACAAGGATACGTGCGACAATTTTCTTTTTTGGTGTTTATTGCAGGAATGTGCACATTAGTGACTAATCAGAAAAAAGTCCTCATCTTGTTAGCAAAATATTATTAGCGAAGTGATTTTTCTATGTCTAGTCCTCTCTGGGCTAATATTCCCTACAACCACAACTAAAACAAGTTACTTCAAACACCATTTTATCATGTCTCCACCCTGTACAACATCAGTAGCTTACTAGAGTCTGTGGAGTCAAAGATAACCTTCTAAATTCCCGTGCAAGGTCATCTACCAACTGCTCCCCTCATCTTGCCAGTACTTTATAAAATTTATTAATTAACTCATCTGTTCATTTAATAAATACGTTTTGAACTTATACTATGCATAAGGTACTTTTAAGAGCTGTTACAGACCAAAATGTTAAAAAGTAAGCAAGATTGGTTTTTGCCTCGTAGAACGTTCCAGTCAAACAGGAGATGTGAAAGTAATCACACACAATCACATGTACTGAGTCCTTACTGAGTGTTACTCAGGAGGCTGAACTCACCTGGGAGGCAGAGGGGAGCCATTGGTTTTTGAGCAGAATGGCAAAGAGATTGAGCTTTAAGGTGATGATCGTAATAGCTGTGTACAGAGGGTTGTCATGGGCTGAACTGGATTGGGAGGCTGCTGAGAGCACTGAGGAAGGAAAGGAAGTGATGGTGTCCATGCAGCCTGGCCTTGGACTGCCCTTCCGGAGTTCCTGAGTGTTCCTACTTAGATTTTCACAAGCCGTCGCTCTCGTCTCTCTCGCTCCTCTCTGCCAATCTGTACTTTTCTTCTTTTTGTCTCAACAGTCTTCCAGGAGACCTTTATGATTCCAGGATTTGTGTTACCTAACCATTTTATTTAGCCCTTCGCACGTGTGTTTGGTCAACTGATAGAGCTTCTTCAGTTACTGTGTATTTTATTAATGTATTCCATCTTCCAGACAGGATAGTAACATCCTATGGCACCAGGATTGCATATTGAGTTACTCTCTGTATTTTACCTCTGACATCTGTTCTAACACTCTGCACAAAGCAGTCACTCAAATATTACCTGACTAAATGTGATCTGACCTTTAAGTATTCGGTTCTATTAAATGCATGTATTGCTATGAGAATTAGGGACTATTAGAATTTGAAACTACATTTATCAGGAAAAAAAGAACTGTTGATTAATTTAACAATTTGAGTTACTGTCAATTCTTTGCAACTTCATTGGTTTATGAAATTTGGTAATTTCTAGCATAGTGCAGCTTTATCTTGTTCTGTTTTGATTTCAATAAGGGATGTTTTTGCTTGTATTTAAAAAGCTGAAGAGCCTTGTCTATAAAGGATTTTGCTGGGAGGAGGAAAAAGAATAACCCCGGGTTCGTGTTGCTCTGGTTTTAAAGACCTTTAAAAGCATGTAACGATCATCTTTTGGTTTCACAGTTAGCTGAGCGCCTACACAGCTCTCTGTTATCCTGAGTGCTTATTTTAGAGTCCTTTGATCTTTTGTTTCTCATGTTTACAGTTATCGTAAGAGCATATAGTCATTAGTCACAGGAAGAATTGCTAATTTGTATTGGGCTCAAAAATGTTTGCATAAGATTTTAGCTTTGATAAGTAATTGTTATGCTGCTTGTAGAACTTTAATCTTGCAGTGACAAAATGAAGATATAGGTCACCAAAGTGCTGCGAGAGAGCACTATTTTAGATGTATTTCAAGCTTTTAAACACAAATTTATATTCTTCTTAGATAAACCTTAATGTAAACAAGTGAAAATAAAGAGTTATGCTCCCACCTCCAGGCCCATGTTAACAAGTGCGCCCAGTGCGGACAGGTTTGGACTCCTGGCTATGTAATTGATTTTTTTGCCGTAGAAATGTGTATGCCACTGTTATTGGAAAGAGGGAGTGAGGCAGGAGAGGAGTGCTGAGAAGTGAAGACCGCCAGCCAAGGTAGGCTGGGAACCTGAGGCCCCACCCAGTCGGCAGATGACCCAGAGGCATCTGGGGGCCAGTGGGAACAACCAGGCGATGGGCAGTTCGGGCAGCCTGCATAGCGCACTCTTAAGAAGAGAATATGGCAGCACAGAAGGTTGAAGGGTTAAAGGGAAATCTTAATAGGAAAACCGTGTTCCTAGGAATATGAAAGATCCAGTGAAGAGGTGAAGAGGAGACCTTAACAGATAAGACAGGGACTGAGGCTGGAGGAAGTGAGGAGGGCAGGAATCAAGTACAGTTGTGAAACACTTGACCTTGGAAAGGGGGAAGGACCCCTCTTCTTCCCAGTTAATACAGAAAACTGTGACGTTCAGAGAAATTCTGAGAAAGAAAGGAGTGTTTTCCATTAGAAGCTAGACAAGGAAGTAGTGCCATAGGAGAACAGCAGCAGCTTTGGGATGAGGAAGTGGAAGAGGAGCCGAAGGACCGGCCGGCGTATGGGAGCGTTTGTTCGCAGTCAGAGGTCAGTAGTGCCAGCGGAAGGGACTGATTGGATGTGAGGTGGTGCAGGAGTGATGTGGGATGAGTGGGTCTGGGCTGCCATGTGAATGAGAAAGATAAGTGATAAATGGCAGGGCCATCCACGAATGAGTGTGTTAAATCGCTGAGCACAGGCGAATACGCTGACACGCACACATGCTCCTGAATCTAACGAATGCTTGTTCTTCCAAGATATAGTGAAGGAGGTGATTGGTAAGGAGTACTTGTAAGGGAGCTGAAACGGAATCTGCAGAGGGAAAAGCATCATAAAAGTTCATAGAAGTTCTTTTTTAAAAAGTTGATAAAAAATTAGCCAGATTCTTTCAGGGGAAAACAGTCTTTTCCACTTTCTAATATCTATCTCTTTCTCTCTTTCAATGGCCAAAATCAGCAGCCTGTCTTTGCATTTGAATTGCTTTTTTAGTCACTGAATTGATCTGCTTCCTAAAGGCGAGGAGGAGGACCTGGAAGGAAACCATGCTGCTCTGCTTCAGTGAGTTGGGTGTTTTCATCAGGGGACTTTAAATGGAAAATAATTTGTTCTCTGGAAAGGAAAAAAGAAATCAATGACATACTTCCTGTCAAAGATGGTGAATTAACACCTGCACTTAATCTCCACTCCCTTCTGAGCCTCATTGAAATGACAGTAAGGGTTGCTGTTGTTTTTTTAAGGCATGAACCCATAAGGACAAAGAAAATGGGAGCAACAAAATTTTGGAAACTGAAACCCAGCTGAATAAGTGCTAATTGACTTAGCTGAGTGAGGAGAGCTGGAGCTGGCGGCGGGGGCGGGGGGCTGACGGGCATCTGATTTGCGCTGCAGACCACCCCCGACCAGCTCAGAACATGGTGGCACCTGGTGCCTCTGGAAGTTGGCGTAAAGGTGGGGATAAAAGAGAAGAACTGCCCGAAACCTGGATTAAGAAGCAATTAGACCCCAGATGGCCGAGAACCTGCTTGTGTCCTGACAGTGGGGAGGTTAAAAATAGCAATATTCTCATCCCATATGGGGAATTCAGTAGATAACGCTTGAAAAAAAAATCTAACTAAACAATATAAGCATGTTACTTAGAAATATGGACATAAATACTAAAAAAGGAAACAAACTCAGCTAAAGGGTTTGAATGTAGCTGCTTCTGGAGAGGGGGAATTGGTGACAACTATTTGGCTCTTTCAACTGTGTGCATACATAATTCTGATAAAAGTTAAATTACTACTAAATTTAATTTAAATTACTAAATTAAAAAAAAAAAAGGAAGGAAGGAATCAAGGATGGGAAGCTGCTTGGGGAATCCCTGACTGTGGATGTTTCCTGAGAAGACGTGAGCCATACCCACAAGGTTGGGGACAGTGTTAGGTGAGTTAGCTGAGGTCTGCCGGGCCCCCTGCCGGCCTCCCTGGCTTTGCGGGCAGGCCCAGTGCAGAGATGATGTCTGTGCCTGGGTGGGCAAGAGCCTGGTTCCTCTTCTGGCAGGAGAATTGCTTTTGCAGTCTCAGAATGACGAGGGAAGATCAAGCTCTAAATGAGAGAAAACCCAGCCCACCCCAGGCCTATTTAAATAGCAGCTTCTTTCTAAAAGCTCTGAGGATTCTCACGCATGGCAGGCTTGTATAGTTACTGAGGACACTGGGATATTAGGTAACTGTCCAGATAATGAAAGCTTTAATTACCCTTCATTTTAATCAGCCTAATGGAAAACTTTCTATGATGGATTCTATACATCCCTGCTTTCTTAAATTTAGTTTGCCAAAAGTAAATGGAAATTCTGATGACTCAGGGTCATCTTGAGAGGCATTATTATTATTCTGTGGTTTAATGCAGCAATTCCTCCAGGAGCCTTTACGTTTTGGAGGATCCTTGACCTGCACTCTCGATGGCCTTGCTTTGCCTGTTCAGATCAGACTTAATAGTTTAATTCCATCTCCTCTCATTCCTTCACTTCCTACTGCTAATTTGTGCTGTATTTCCCGGCCATCTATTTGTACACCACTCTGTTTTTTTCCTTTCTGACATGCTGCTTTGAGTCTGCTGGGCAGTTGGCATCTCCCCTGTAACCGAGATTGGTAGATGTATGCTACCTCACAGCAGATGAGAGCCTGATGCACTCCCATATGGGGAGAAGAAGCAGAATGCCAGGCCAGACCTACAAGGCCTGGATTTGCTTGCTCAGAGACCTTTCTTATTTTACAAACTCCTCGCATCTCGGTGCGTTCTTAGGAGCCGAGGTTACCAGATAAGTAATGTGCCACCATCCATCACTTGGTTTGCTCACATCCTTGTCTTACCCAACACATTAAACATTAAATCATCTGTAGGATTCATCCTGAAAGCACTTCCTTTCCAAGTGTGCTGTGTGAAAATATTTGCAAAAGGAAACCTGGGAGCCTGTGACGTTTGTCTATTTGTGTCAAGATGTTTTCTCGGCTCTGTTTTACAGAACAGTAAGAGGTTCTTCCGTGGGGATCCAGAGACCCATATTCTGTGCCACCGGTACCATGTCTTGCTGTGTGATGTTAGGTTAGTCTCTTGACCCCTCCCTGCCTCATCTTCCTTCTTGTAAGTCACGTTAGATGGTATGACTCTCTGCTGGCCCCATGGGTTCTAAAATGCAGTGACCTAGGATCAGTTGCCTAAGCAGCCATTTTGGAATGGCTTGATTGCAGTTACTTAAAAAGATTCCAAGATGAACTGAGTAATCCCATCGAGTGGTCCAGGACACCTAAAATGCAGCCCATCAGCATGGGTTTCAAGGGGGAGAGTGAATGCCTAACTTTGAAGGTGAAGAGTGACCGCTGAAGGTGAGACCTCCGAACCTGAGTTGCACTCCCGTAACTCCTTTGGAACCCTCGACGTCTTTCCTCTCCTTAAAGAACGGGTGTTGAATCACCAGATCCTCTCCTGCGCACTTTAATTAAGTAACAGTTAGTGAAGCCAAGGGAAGCCAAGAAGTAGCAAGGTCTTCAATGGCCGGCAACTTGCCCTCCTCCCTTTAATTCCCCCTGAGGATCCATGGCTGATAAGGGAGGTTGGAGGGAAGGATCACAAAGGTGACAACTAGGCCAACTCAGGTCAAAAGCTTCAAAACAAGCAGCAGGTCTCCAGAAACCCGCTGTCTCACCACAACCCACATCTCCTGTATCTGGCACCCCTCTGGCTTTAAGATGCCCACATCGACTGTCATCCTAACAGTGTTTCTCCTAAGTGTGGTCAGAACCTCCTGCGGCCGCTTGTTTAAAATGCACTTTCTTTGCTTCACCCCCAGTCTTGCATCTTTGGGGCTGGGGCTCGGGAATTTGCACTTGAGTGAGCACAGTCAGGTTTTGTGAACCTCTCTTTAGAGGGTGGAGCAGAGAAGGCCCCTCCTGGGTTCATGCTCACCTCTGAGCCTCTTTCCTCTGTCCCTCAGAGGGACAGGTGACCCGTTCAGACTCCAGGGAGTGCTGGCTTGAGGGATTAATGGGCAGCCAAGTTGTCTTTCTCAAGGAGTGTGTTCCTTCTTCCTAATATAGCTTTCACTGGTGAAATTTCCCCAGGGCCGCGAATGAAGGGGAGGGAAATTCGGGGGGGATGCTTGAGCTTCCTGGGGTACTTACCCTGTGAGCAAGTCCCAGAGCTGTGTTTTTTTGTCCCTTCTTCCTCCCTCTTTCCTTTGTAAACCCACAGAGTCTCTGAAAGCATCACTTTTCTCTTAAATAGCAACTCTCAGGGTCCTCTCGGCAGGTGCTCTGCTGGGGAGGAATTGGGCTGCTTTCAACTCTGGCTTGCCCATAAAAATTTTTCTGATTATTAATCTATTATACTTGTTTATTAAAGCTGAGAAGAACTACAATTCAAGTCAAGTCCTCAAATAAATTAAATCATCTTTCTCAGACAAATACCAGAAGGTTTTTTATATCTCTCTATATATAACCTAATAAATATCCTAAAATGAAGTGAATAGCCTAGATGATCTCTAAGGCTTTTCCAGCTCTCAAATTCTGTGCTCTACGAATCCTGTAATATAATAGGAATAAGGGATTCTAGTGGGTAAAGTGAATAAATGCATTCTAAGAATGTTTTAACAATATTTAGAGATAAATCTTCTTCTAGGAATAAGGAATTTAAAACAACTTTAACCTGCCTTCTTTCATTATAGTCAGTGGCATGTCAAAAACATGTCATTACACATGTTAACATATTAGAGGAAAAACACAGTCATGCGTTTGTGGAATGTGTTCAATGGCAAGATGTTGTACTAATTGCTTATTGGAGATGTAAAAAAATAATGAAAGATCTCTGCTGTCACTGAAAATTATAAAACCCCACCAAGCATGTGGTGCAGGTAGTAGGTACAAATGAAGTTTGAAGAAAGGAGCAAGCCTGGAGGGTTCTGCCTGTAGGGAAGGAGGTGGGCCCTGAGCTGGGGCTGCAGGTCGGGCAGGCTCCCTGTGAGCAGAGCAGAAGGGAAGGGCTTTTTAGGCGGGCCGGGCGTAGAAGCCTCATTCTCAAGGTGTGCTTTCCATGCCCATGAGGTATGTTGTCCTGCTAAAAGGAAATGTCTGTTTCAGGAAGCAGCAGAAGATAGGGTTGGAAATACAGGTTGGGTCAAATGATGGAAGCCTTTTAATTCAAGGGTAAACTATTTGGGGTTGATTTTCTAGGCCAACATTGCCCAAAGCCTGAGTCAAGAAATGCTAGTCCTGCTCCATGGGGCAAAGGATTTCTTCACCAAATCTTTATGACACAATTTATTCCACTTTAGAGATTCTCAGTCCACATTAGCTTGCTAAATATCCCCCAGTTTAAGGCAGCATTTCCCAAAAATGTTTGGTTAGAAAGCCCCTGTTTCAGGTTTTATCTGTCAACGTCGTGAACACTTTAGGAAACTACTATAGGCAGTGGGGTCACTAAATAGTTCAGAACAGGCCTGGGACTCACTGATTGACTCATCTCTCTCCTTTGCCCTCCATGTTCACATACTACTCCCAGCAACGGAATGTGGACGCCTGACACTTAGAATAGGAGGAAGTTGATTTTCGTGAAGGGCTGTTTCAGGTGTGGAAGCGTGAGATCACAGTAGGATGCTGTCTTAGTCCATTCAGGCTGCTTTAACAAGATACTACAGACTGGACATCTTATAAACAGCAAAAATTTATCACTCACTGTTCTGGAGGCTGGGAAGTCTGAGATTATGGTGCCGGCAGATTCAGTGTGGTGGCCGCTGAGGGCCCACTTCCTGGTTCACAGACACCGCTTTCTCGCTGTGTCCTCACATGCTGGAAGGGGCTGGGGAGCTCTCTGGGGTCTCTTCTACAAGAACACTAATCCCATTTGTGAAGTCCCCCCCCTCATGATCTAAGTACCTCCCAAGGCCCCCTCCTTATACCATCACATTAGCATTAGGATTGCAACACAGGAATTTGGGGAGGATGCAAACATTCCGACCATGGCAGAAGGTCAAAGGGAAATAACTGGTGAGTTGTTGAAGCAACTGTAGTCAAGCTGGGATGGAG